TTTAATCTTACAGACGCTACTCATTTCCAATGTTTCTTAGGTCAGCACCTTTTCTCCCATAGCCTTCAGTGAGATTATTTTATAGGTTTGTAATATACTTAGATTGTTTTATCACATTTTGATTTCCACCTTGGAATCCCCTGAACACCTAAATGATTTCTTAAAAACTTGCATACATGCCACTCCTAGTGCTGTGAAGGTCTATGGGTTTTGACTAATGCATAGTATCATGTATGTACACTTACAGTATCATACACAATAGTTTTACTATCCTAAAAATTCCCCTGTGTTTTACTTTCAAGTAAAATGCTACTGGTAAATAAGACTGAATAGATTGCCTCAAATTTGTGAATAGCGCTAAAACAAACATTAATATAATTAATGGTGAGTAGTTTTTCCACCTTTCCTGCAGATAAATCCTGCCTCATATCTATTTAAAATAAAGACATATCACTAAAAGCCTACTGTCCAAGCCCTCTCTTACTCCCTCCCCAAAGGCTGTCACTCTCCTGAGGTAGGCACTGCCATTCCCATGTATTTTTTGTATTTTGTATTTTCTTCAACTTTATATACATATATATATATACACACACACACACACACACACTATTGTTTTTTCTGTCTTTAAAAAGTTCAGATAGGGTTACCTTCTTCAACTTGTTTTCACGCCACAATAGGTTTATAAAATTAATTCATGTTAATACATGTAGTTGTGTTTTATTAAATTTAACAACTATATAAACCTGCATTGTATGAATAAGTCACAATGTACTTATCTCTTTTCCTATTGAAGGATTTATATTGTTTTCCTTTTTCTACTATTACAAGCAGGGCTGCCAATATTTCCTTGTCCGTGTGGTAGAGTTTTTCTGGGGAATGCAGCTAGAAGTGAAGGTGTTGGGTTGAAGAGTATGGATAATTTTATCCAGCATTACTAAATTGAACTTCAAAATAATTATTCAAATTTACATTCAAACCGCACATTGTATCACTGCTTGTTTCCATAAACCCTCACCAACATTTTGTATTATCAAACTTACTTTGTTTTGCCAGTGAGGTGAAAACAAAATGTTATTTTTTGTTTAGTTTTTCATTTTATTGATTATTATGACATAGAGCAGCTTTTCCTATGTGTATTGCTCAGTTGAGTGTTCTTCTCAATGAATTATCTATTTATAAGACTTGCTCATTATTTCTTTTTCTTTTTTATTATTGATTTCCATTCATTCATTTATTCAACAACTACTTACTAAACATTCACTAGTTCTAGGCACTCTTTTAGGAGCTAGAGAAACATCAGTGAATAAAACAAAATGGCTGCCCTTGTGGAGCTGACATTTCTGAAGAGGCATAGATAAAGAATGTGAAAAATTAGTAAAATACATACTGTGTTGCAAGGTGACAGCTAAAATGAAAATAAAAACAGTGCACAGTGAAGGGAACTATGCAAGTTGTAGTGTGAAATACTGTGGTCAGGGTTTGTTACTGATTTGATCCGACCTGAAATTGCCAAGGGAGTTAGCCAAATAGTTTCTCACAGAAAAAAGCATTTCAGAAAAAGGATACAACTAGGCCAAAGTCTGTAAGGTAGGTGCATGCCTGTCATGTCTTAAGGGCAGAAAGGAGGCTAGTGTGTGGCTGGACCAGAGTGAGCAAGGGAGGAAGACGTTAAGTGGAGATAAGCCACCACAGAGTTCTGACCTATGATCTGCCCTAAGATTTTAAGCTGTGTAAGAATACAATAGAAACAGAGAGCTCAGTTAGGAGGAGATTGTTGTTAAACCTGGCAAAAGATGATGGCTTGAACCAGGATGGCAGTAATGTGCATGATGAAAAGTGCTTAGATTCTGGATATACTTTGAAAATAAAGAGGGACTGGATGTGAAATGTGAAAGGAAAGAGCAGTCAGGAACTGCTCCAGGCTAGAGTTTTTCTTGAGACACTAGAAAGATGGAGGTACAGCAAATGAAATGGGAAGGCTGAGGGTAGATCATAGTTTGAGATGTCATTAGTCATCAAAAGCATAGTTGACATGAGGCTGGATAAAATCAGCAAGGGTGTAAGTTAGAAAAAGAAGAGAACCAAGGATTGGGCTCTATGGTAGTCTTTGAATATTGCAAGAGTTATTAATATAAGAGGGATTATAGTCCTTTGAGAATTACATGGGTAGCAAAATCCTCTCAGTCTGAGACTTCTCTCTTCCTTTTGTTCATGATGTATATTTTAATACATAAGTTTTAAAATTTAATAACATTAAATTTATGACTATCATCTGCATTTTGGATGCTTATTTTTCATAAAATTTAAGTCATCATTTTTTATATTTATTCCTAAGTACCTCACTGATTTAAATCATATCTTTGCTAGAGTTGTATTCCTAATTGTTTGTTGTAGGTGTATAGGATATTATTAGATCTTGTATAGCTCTTTTGGGTTCTAATAATTTGCCTTTAGATTCTCTTAGGAATAATGAATATATTGTTTTTTCTTTCCACTGCCTATATACATTTTTTAAAAAATCTTTTTGCATTAGTTAGAATCATTATACAATGTAAAACAGGCAAACAAAGGACACTTGATTTTTTTCTTGACTTTGGGATGAATACTTTGGTTTTGGCTAATGCTACAGTGGTAATCATATTGCAATATATAAGCATAGCAAATCATCACATTTTGGACCTGAGGTTGTACGTCAATTATATCTCAATTTAAAAAAAAAAACTAATGTAAAAAAAGAGTATTTCTAACTTTTATCATTAAGATGTTGGCTGTAAGTTTTTGGTAGATATCTTCATCATTTTATGGATGTCTTCTTAGGTTTCCTGAATCTAATTTTTTTTAATGAGAATTTTTTTTTAATTTTGTCAAATTATTATTATTTTTTTTTATTCTGTATCCTTTGAGGTGACCATATAATCCTTCCTCCTTTAACCTGTTGGAATATTTAATTACAATCATAGTTTTTCAAATGCTAAACCATCCATGAATTCTTGAAGGAAAACCTCTCTGGTCACAAAGTGTTTCTTAGATTTTCTTTACTTAGCGTGCTAATATTCTACCTAGGATTTTTGCATACAGAATTCTAATTGAGATAGGCTATATTTTTTTCTTACTTTCCTTGTTTTGTTTGGGTTTCAAGGTTCTATTACCTTTAAATTAAAATTGCAAAATATTCTATCTTTTTATCTCTTGTTGAACTATCTGTAAAGCCAAAGATTTCAAGCTTGTGGAAGATTTGCTTAAACTCCCCTCTAAAATCATTAGGACCCATTGGGTCCATTCTATTCACATATATTTTATATTTTTACTACATATGTGCTGAACAACTACAGGAGCCTCTAATTGCTCTCTTACTATCCTCCATTGCCAGGATGATCTTTGTAAACTTTAAATCAGATCATGTCACTTTCTAATGGTTTCCTATGGCTCATAAGACCTCGAGTGATCTGGGCTTGCCTGCCTTTCTGACCTCATCCACTGCTATTCTTTCCCTAACCCAGTATATTTCAAGGTTAGCAGCCCTCATTTTGTTCTTCAAGTTCACCAAGCTCATTCACACTTCAGGGACCTTGCACTATGTTGTGGCCTCTGCTTGGAATGTTCTTTCCTTAGATCTAAGTTTAGCTGGCTTAATTGTATCATTCATATCTCAGTTCAAATGTACCTTTCAGAAAGGTTTCACCTGAATTCTCTTTTTAAAAAATCAACCCCTTCTCCAGTCTCTCTCTACCCATTACCTTATTCTGCTTTTGTTTATTTGGTTGGTTTACTAACAGTTACCAATATCTGAACTTATTTTTTTCTAACAAATACCAATATCTGAACTTATTATTTTTATTGTTTCTTGTTTGTTTTTCTCCCTCCCACTATAACGTAAGCTCCATGGAGGTAGGAATTATTTCTCTATTATTCATTAAAATGTCTCCAAGTTCTAGAGTAGTGTGAATACCCAGGACATGGGCTCTCAAAAATATTTATTGAATGCTTAAATTAGTGAATGGATAAAAGGATCAATCTCATTCTTCACAAACATCAAAGGCCAAAAAACCCCAATCCTCACTAATCATTCATTCAACATGTACTGATTAATAACCTATTTTGTATCCCAACACTGCAGGACACTAGACAGAATGTGGTGAACAAAACAAGCCATCTGCTCTCATTAAACTTATACGCTAGCAGTAGACAACAGTAAACATTAAAACAAGTAAATGTATTTATTATATCTTATGGTATCCTGGTAAACCAGCTCTCTAAAAAATAGAAACTCTGATTGGTAGCATTTTGCCAATTTCCATGGTGTAAATACTCCCATCATAGTCAGTTTCAAGCTTCCAATGTTTTAACAATGTTTAAAACAACTTCCATCTTTAACAATTTTTTTTTTAAAGATTTATTTATTTATTTGAGAGAGAGAGAGAGAAAGCATACATGCATGCAAGGCAGGGGGAGGGGCAGAGGGAGAGAATTTTCAGGCAGACTGCCGGCTGAACAGGGAACCAAATGAGGGGCTCAATCCCAGGACCCTGAGATCATGATTTAAGTCAAAGGCAGACACTTAACCGACTGAGCCACCCAGGTACCCCTAACAATGTTTTGTTTTTTAAGATTTATTTAGTTATTTGAGAGAGAGAGAGAGCACACGCCTGCACCCACCCATGTGATTGCAGGGAGGGGCAGAGGGAGAGAGTCTTCAAGCAGACTCCCCACTGAGCACATACCCCCCCCTCCCCCCGCAACACAGGGCCTGATCTCATGACCCAGGAGATCATGACCTGAGCCAAAATCAAGAGTTAGGACACTTAACTGACTGAGCCACCCAGGAGCTGCAATTTTAACAATGTTTTAACAAAAATAAATAATACCTAACAAAATTTTTGAAAATTAAATAAATGGCTTTCAAGATCATGTATTACTGACTATGTCAGACAGTATTAAGTGCTTTGGAGAAATATAAAGCAGAGATGGCTATGAGGAAATTTTGAGAAAAGCAGTATTAGTCAATATAGAGTGGCGAAGTGACATTTGATCTGAGACCTGAAGGAACTGGGGGACCAATTGTGAGTGTTTGGAGGAACGGCATTTGAGGCAGAAGAAACAGAAAAGACCAAGGCCTGAGGGCAGGACCACGCCTGGAAGAGCAAGAAGGAAAATGGTGTGGTTGCGGCAAAATGAGCAAGTGGAGAGAAGGGGTGGGATCAGAGGGTCTTACAGCCCATTTTGAGGACTTGCATGTTTATTCTGAATGAGATGGGACACCTTTGGATTGTAGCAGAGGAATAAAAATATTAATAACATATAGTCATTTTAAATTATTAAGACATATTGTCATGTTCTGCCTCCAAAATAAATAATAAACCCAACAATATAGTACGGAAATCCTATTTAAGTCATTATCAACTCAAGAGTATATGTAGCAAAATCTTTTTATAAATCTGCAGTGGGATTTTTCCTTTATGAATGTAGGTTACAGATGTGTGAGCAGCAAATTTCTTGTGGATAATTTGAAGCACTTGTTTATAGTTCTATCAGTAACTTGTAAATCTGGTATATACAAATGTCTGGCAACTATTGGCCTTACTTAGGGTAAACATGAGTCTATCATGTCATACTACAAATTTCCTTGGGAGATCATTCTATGATACTCATTTTGGTTTTTAAGGGGACATCCCTGTACAGGCTTAGTAAGAGTATAAAGGATATTCACAGATTTTTATAGAAAACTGATTTTTAATGTTAAGACTAGTTTTGATGTGAATGACTTGTGCTAATAGCTTTTTAAAGTGCCACTTAACTGAATATTATAGCTAAAGAAGAATGTGGGTAACACTGCAAGAAATAATTTTGCATTTTGTATCCATAAAACTTTGGTCTAGGTTTGTGAATTGCACTAATGAGGTCTGTATTTGAGATAGTTAATACCCACTCGGCCTTCTTACAAATGCATGCCCTGACAAGAAGAGGGCTGCATAACAGAATGTGAATGGTTCTGCACAAACTCGTAAGAAGCATCAGGGAAAAAAAAAGTGAAATAGTTGCCTCTTATTGAGCACTTACTATTTGCCCAGCATAATGCTAAGCTCTTTGCTTATATTATCTCCGTAATTTCTTTTGAGCTAAGTACTTTTTATAGGTCAGGTTCAGAGAATTTAAGTGAGTCATACAAAGTCATGTAAGTTGCTAAGTGGCAGGGTTAGGACTTGACCCGACAGCCTGTGTATTCCCACCTGCCATGATTTATCATGTACAGTTAAAGGGTTGGAAGTAATATCACCAAATATAAATAGCTTATATTATCCCAAAGATGTTTCTCCTTTAAAATCTTATAAATTACTCTGTAAGTCATTAGAGGTTATGAAAGCTTTATCTACACATGGGAACTTTACTTTTCTACCTATCATGAACCACTTAAAGTTCCTTAGTTGGCATTTCCCAAAGGATATTCCATAGACAACTAATTCCATGGACTTTTTATGGTGTCTTAAATTATTAAATTATGGTGGCTAGGTTAGTTTGAGATATACTGGGTAAACAAAGTTATAGAGGTTATTGTTGTGGTTTGTTTTTGAGGATTTCTTTGATTCTTTAATAATGGTCTTCATGAATTTCTAAGAGATCAGATAATTCACTTTATTTCCTAAACACATTTAATCAAGGAACATTTTCTTCCCACATGGTAATCCCTGCCATGAGTGCTTGGCAAGAGCATTATTTTGGGAAATCTCTAACTCACCCTTAAGTTCAAGTTTATAATATGAATAGAAGCATCATATCTTCAGAAGAGTGCCTATCCAAGAGTTCAGTGTTATTCCTGAAAAGAATGACTCAGAGCCACACACTTGTTTGTTTCTGTTTTAAAGACTCTGGCACTTGTTCAGCTTCTGACAGAGATGTGTAGATCTCGCTAAAATCAAAGAACAAAATTGTATTCCTTGAAGATAACTCTTATCACATTTTTAGACACCACAGGGGTATTTTCTTTGTAACTGGTAAGATATTGAACATCACCCAAAAACAAGCTTGCTTGGTTATAGACACTGACTGGAGGCGAAGCCTGGATGTTTTTGTGTTCCACATGGCATTTTCCCATTTACAGTGTATATGCGTGTGTGTGTGTGTGTGCGCGCAATTGTGCACGTGTGTGAGTGTGTGTTCCTGGCAAACACCTTTGGGCAAGTTTTGCTCTTATCAAAATAACATAATTATCAGACTTTAGTCATCTAATCAGCCTGATTTCCCCAGGAGATAGAGTAAATTGCTCCCAGACCCGGAAAATAGAAAGGGAAGAAATCTTCTAACTAACTGAAGGCTTTGCCTCACTGGGTGTGTTTCTTCTTGTCTTTGAATGAACTTTTCTCTGAGTTGTAGATCAGAAAGTCAAACCCATTACATACTAAATGAGGAAGGCACTGTTATACAGAGAGTGGGCTCCTAAGTCTGTAAGGGCTGAATTCAGCTTGATTGACCCACTAACTTCCAGGCTGAGTGGCCATTATTACTTTATTATTTTTTTAATCAATCATACATTTCTCTGGAAAACAGTTATTGATTGCCTTTTATATTTCTAGACCTTGTTTTCATTCCAGGTCCACAATATAGAACAAATACAGATAAGTCTTTGAGCCTTACTTGCTTCATTTATAAATTGGGAATGTATAGGATTGGCAGTGAGAATTAAATGAAAATGGGTATATAAAGTATCTAATACAGTGCCTGGCACTCAAAAGGGGATTAACAAATCATAATGATCATAAAACCAAGGATGATAATAATTCTTACTGGTCTGAAGATTTCATACAATCATGGATATTCCTTGCATAGGAGGAAAAAAAGCTGTTGCTTAAATGTGTTTTTTTCTCCCCCTAGTAAATAGCTATAATTTCCAAAGTCTTTACTCCTTGAAGTCTAAATAATACAGGCTGTTTTAAAGAAAAAATGCTATCTTAGAGGGGTATCATTTTAAGCCACATTTACTACGAATGCTCTAACTCATACTGATTTATCAGATTAGTTTACAAATTACCTGGCAAGACCTAAAAGAGTAGGAAGTTGAAAGGTACATTTTATTAAGAGAGATATAAAAGATCTTAGGCAAAGGAACTATCATGAGAGCTACAATAATAGAAGATTCTTAAAAAACCAGGGGAATAGAAGCTCTATGGGAGAAGAAAGGGAGAAGACAGATAGCTACTAAAACTCTGCAGTGGGTTCCCATCAGATTGAAAAGAGTTTCTATTAAATTTCTAGAATCTGCATAAGCAAGAAACCCATTTGGCTTTCTTGCCTTATACCGTTTTCTCTTTATTCATTACATTCTAGTCACACAAATCTTCTTCCTGTCCATCAAAGTCCAAGTACGCCCCCAGTCTCAGTTTTATGGCTTTGGGATTTTTGCATTTGCCAGAATCCTTGTGTTTGCAATGGTGTACCCCAACATTTTCCCATGGTTGGATCAAAGGTGTCAGCTCATTAGAGGGGTCTTTCATGACCACCTGACTTAAGGTAACCCTGGATACTCTCTAACATACCACTCTATTTTATTATTTATATATAATATGATCATCATTGTATTTACTATAATCTAATTTTTTCTTTTTTGTTAACTTACTCAGTTTTTTTATTATCTGACTCCACCCTTATTTCTATAGTGTAAGCTCTATATACACAGGGTGGCTGACTATCTTTTTCACTGCTGTACCTCTAGCACTGAGGATTGTGCCTGCCATCTAGTAGGCTCTCAATAAAAAATTATTGAATGAATAAATGATTGAATACCAGCATTGAAAAAAAATCCTTCAAAGGGATGTTGAGAAATGGCAAAGAATAACTTTACCAAATTGACAATTTTGCCTAGGGCCAAAGCTGAACATAACATTAATAATGTTCATTGATATTTTCTGGACTAATTTTGACATCTCTAATGAAAGAATTGCTCCTTCATGCATACAATTCTGGGAAATCAGTTATTATTCTAATCAATGTCTTACTAATTTGAGCAGTGGTTATTTTAAATCACCATAAAGGTGTGTTTGACCATGTGTCATGAACAGAATTTTTTACATTTCTGTGTATTATAAGGGAGAGGTGATTTTTAAATTTATGCATGGAGGATTATAATTATGTAGATACGTGGTGTATATTACATACTATCAGGAAGAACAATAACAGCTTTTATTTAAATGGATGCTGGGCAAAATATCATTACCTTTATTTTATCCCTCAAAAATATATAACCAATTACTTACCTTGTTTCATTTTCTTAGTGACAAATTTCAATAGTTTAAGACATTTTTTTAAATCCCACAATTTCCCTATTTGCTATCACATTACTTCTAAGAATGTTAAACTCCTGCTAATCCACAAATAAGATATTCGATGCCAGTACGCCAAATACAAGTTCTTATCCAGAGCTCAAAAACATCTTGTACTACAAACAGAATGGCAATTACTGATGCAAAAAACGTATTACTCCCTCAAGGCTTTTCAGAAATCTTGATTATTTAATCAGTGTTCTTGATTTGTAAGGCTAGGTAGTTGATGGCTCCCAAAATGTGTCACATTGGACATTATCCAGATGGAGTGCCAGTTTTCATTTGAGATTAAAGAGGTAAAACCCAACAAAAAAGGTTTTCCACCATCTCGGACTATAGCTCAACTTATATCAGATGACAAATAAAACCTGGCAGTCTGCTTTGCCCATGATTTTAAAACAGAAACTTCATTGAACTGCCAGTTACCAAACAAGGTGATTAACTATGATGTTGATTAAAGTTTTATACCATGTTTTTATTACTGACAAGTTTCTTTCTTCCCTCTTTTTGGGGGTTCTTTCACTGTAATTTCAGTGTAATTCTCACATCATGTCTAAGATTTCATTATGTCATTTATGTTTTGATATATATACTTACTGGTGCTATTTTCAAGGACTTTCTATTGTATGCTTGCAAAATTAATGTATAAGACGCACTGCATAGGAGGAATCTAAATCATGCATATTCCTTTCAAAGTTATACATAGGAGTACCATAGTGATGTTCAACTTAACTCTTCCCAGATATGCTTCGCTCTCTTATTTAGTCCTTTCATTTAATGTGTACAAAGTTCCAATTTTTAAAAACTTGGTTCTTGCTTTATACTAGTGTCATCCCTGCGGTTGACAGCTCTACTAAAGAATAAGCAATAGCTACAAGGAAAGTTAGACAGGGATAGGGGAATAGCAAGTAGATAAAATAATATAATAATAATAATAATAATAATAATAATAAATATATAAATAATGTTCATTAGTACTGATACTAAGAAACTCACAAGAGGTTAAAGGCCCAGGAGACTGAAGTCCAAGAGTTGAGGAAGCAGTCACTTCAGATGTTTAGGCTGGAGAGGAGTCAGTATCCCAGACTGTGAGGTGCATTAAATGAAAGCACCGATGGTCAGGTCGAGAAGCTGGCCTGATAAAAAGATGGGATTAGATGGTGTTGGATGTATCCTTTTATATAACATTTCCCCTTTCTTTAGCTTCAATACTCCGAAAGTGCTTTCAATTTCCTTAACAGATCTTGCTCTCTCTCACTGTGGGTCATTGATAATTTTTTTTTTTTTCTGGACAGGGTTTTTCTCAGGAGGGGCCTCTGAGTGTTGCAGCTGCCAAAGGCTGCGCAGAGCCTCAGCACAAGCCTGGATTAGGCTACACAGCTGGATGCTAGTCTCCAGGGAGGCGCTAGAGCCCAGCTCAGCTGAGGCCCAGGTCAGCTTCTGCAGGAGGGCCTCCTGTGTGCAGGCCAGGACAACTGCATTTGGAGGCACAGCAGGAAGGGGCGGTCCCTGGGCTGCCTTGAGCCCTGCTGCAGCTCCCTCACAGTGCCCTGGACGGGGTACTGGGGGCTGAGGGGCTGGCTGAGAGCCCAAGGGGAGCTCCGAGGCAGAGGCAAGCTGGTGTTCCCGAGCCTGGGAGAGGGCAGCCTGGGCATTCAGAGCATTTCCCCTTTCTTTAGCTTCAATACTATGAAAGTGCTTTCAATTTCCTTAACAATCTTGCTCACTCTCATTATGGGTCATTGATAATAATTTGCCTTCTTCCTAGAACATTCTTTCCTTTTTCTCTCCCCTTTCCCTTCAATTTCCTTGGCTATAATGTTGCCTCTCTCTCAGTTTTCATTTCCATATCACTTCTAGCGGAAAGACTTTGCTGACTGTGCACATGCATACTGTGTATCCCTAGGGCCTGTATTTCTTCCATCAGAGCACTGGGGCTGTAACAGGACTGCTGGCTACCAGTCTGGGTCAGTCACCAGGTACTAAATACCTTGAAGGTAAGTGCCATATTGATTTTTATGCATCCCTGTATCTCCAGTATCCAGCACAGCACCTTCCAACTCTTTGATAAATATTTGTTAAAGGAACAAACATTGCTTATGGGTGTGGGTGGCTATCGACACTTGGGTGTAAGCAGGAAATTGATTGCTCCTTGTTGAACAGTGAGCATTAATAGTGGTAGAAAAACTGATATTTGCAGGGGCAGGGCTAAAGGAACTGAAATTCTTGACAATGATATAGGATGAGGGTATATAACTCTGTGGTGCTCCATTCAGCAGTCCCTGGCATGCTGGTTTAGATATTAAGAAAGCAGCTAATAGTAATAATGCTTTCCAATCTCACTGCACTTCATACCCAAAGGATTTATTGAGTTTTATAAACACTGATTAATCATCCTTGCCCTAGTGAGGTGGATAAGAGTTATTATGCTCATATTATGAAGAGGAAAATCAAGGCAGAGAGAGATTAAGTGGTTAACCCAAGGTCAGGCAGTGAGTCATGGAGAGCTGGCACTTAGACATGGAGTTTTAAACTTGCAGCTCTCTGCTTAGTCTATTAAGCACAGAACGAGAAGTTGGATGCCTTCCTGAACCCCCTCAAAAGATGAGTAGCTCCCTTTTCCTGCTTTCCCATTGCCATTGGTATCACCAATGCCATTGTCTTAATGCATGCCAGGCATCATGCCTAGCACTTTCTATATATGAAGCTACTGAATTCTGCAACAACAATAAAAAAAAAAACCTTGAAATAACTTTCATTTTTACCACTTTAAAGATGAGAAAATTGAGTTTCAGAAATATAAATTAACTATTATGTAGGAGACTTGGAATTCAGACCCCCTAATTATCAGAAGTGAAAGTCTATGCTACTTTCCAACATCCTTAACTTAAATGCTTGTGTACATGTTATTAATATGTGATGGGGTCAGATGTATGGTATAGGTAAGCGATATAATTCACAAAGGATAGCAGAGTACTAGAATATAATTGATTCCCAATAAATGTTTGTGGAATAAATAACAGAATGAAGCTAAAATTCCTCCCAAGATCACAGGAAACTGAAACTAGGGTCCAGCATTTGAACGGTTCAGAGTCACAGAGGATGAGCTGATATCAAGTTCATTGCTCTCACTCCTGGATGCAGACACTATTAGGGATGTCTGGGTGTCTGCTCATAAAAGGAAGTGGAAGCATAATCAAGAGCCACCTCAACCATACCTTCACATCTTTTCCATTTCAGCAAGACATAATAATCTACCTTTATCTTTTCCCATTTAAACATTTATAAAAAGTATAGGCAAAGGTAAATATATCAAGAAATTCATCACAATTCTGTTTAAATCAAGGAAAAAACCTAGATACTACTTAAATATCCAACAAATGAGTATTAATTTAATTTGCCAATATCTTATAACACCTTACAAATTATACCATTAAACACAAAGCTTAGAAGTGATCTTTTAATATGTCAGAGTACCAGTGCATGGTTATATAAAAAGAGCAGGTTCCAGAGTAATAAACAGTTACGGTCTTGTTTTTTGAAATAAAATATATGTATAAATACATAAGACTCTGGAAGGACACACCCAGATAATTAGCAGCGGTTATCTCTAGAAAGCAGGATTATGGGCATCTTTCTTTGGTTTATCTATACTTTCTGAATCTTCTGAAACGATTATGTACTGTTCTTGTAATGAGAACAACAAAAGTTGTTTTTAAGTAACTTTTATTTTGAAAAAAAAAATTAAAACAGATGCCTCAGGGAAGAATGGGTTTTGAACCACTGGAATCATAAACCAGGCACCAGCTGCCACCTGAAAATCTCAGCTTTAAAATAAGCCAGACTCCTGAACACACCCAAGCATGTGTTCTCCCTCCCATGCCACACATACTGTTCTCTGATAGAAGAAATCAAATGATTCCTTCTGTTCCCTTCCACCTTACCCTGACATAGCAAAGATGGAATGTGCACTATTTCCAAATCAAAACAGGCACAGTGCAGCAAGAGGCACTTTCAAATGATGAAATTAGATTAGAAGTTAAGGCAAAATATGTTTAACTGACTTTTAAAGAAATTTGGTGGAACACATTACTATAAACAGTACATTTGGGCAGCCAAACAAACTTTGCCCAGAGAAAATCAATTTTGCTCCCCAAACAATGAGAAAAATTACTTTAGATTCGATATTAAATATTGTCGTATTTTTTAAGAAGCATTTCCATAACTCTGTGTAGAAATAGGAGTCAAAGGATGCCTTGGTTACTATGGTAACAGTCTCCCTCGGAAGAGCCAAGGATGAAGTAGCATACATTCGCCCTGCATATATTTGGCCAATCAATAAACAAAAGACTTAATCTGCATGCATCACATTAGGAAAATGGTCAAGGTGTACATGATTAGTAAAAGGGTAGGGGGTATTCAGGTATTATGGGTTCAATCATCCAGCCTAATTTTCAGCTGAGCTTTGTTAACACTTTCTTCATGTAGAAACCCATTATGAAGATAAATTATTGCTAAAATGCCTGTAGATACTTGAAAAATGGAAATCTTCATTACACAATTTTAACATAACAGTATAACATGCAAGGTGGTAAACTATGATTAGGAGTATAGAAAAAATGTGTGCACACACCCAGGAGCCCCAGTAGTAATGGTAACAATAATACAGCTAAGATTTCCTGAACATTTACTATGGGCCACACATGAGCTACGTATTTTCCAAGAAATTTTTACTGACTCTTTTAAACAACCTTAACAGTTATGATTATGAGTTTTCATTACCATTTTTCAAATGATGTGAGAACTATTTTTATTCCTGTTTTACTGATGAGGGAACTCACACTATGAGATTAAAATAAGTAGCCCAGTGGCTTCCATCTTGGGAGTGCTGGAGCCCAGGGTTCAAACCAGAGCAGTGTGCTATGGTGGTGTGCTCTATCCACTACACCGAACTTCCAGCTTTGCCAGTGATCAACAGCATGGCTTTATGAAAGCAACTTTACTTTTCTGAGTCTCAGACTCAGGCTTTTGTGAGGTTACAATTCACATAAAGTATGTTAAGAGAAAGCACATAATAGGCCCTCACTATATGTTCCTACCTTCCTCTCGAAAACATTCAGTTCCAGGGTGCCTGGGTGGCTCAGTCAGTTAAGCACCTGCCTTCGGCTCAGGTCATGATCCCAGGGTCCTGGGATTGAGCCCCATGTGGAGCCCCACATCAGGCTCCTTGCTCAGCAGGGAGCCTGCTTCTCCCTCTGCCTCTGCCTGCTGCTCCCCCTGCTTGTGCTCTCTCTCTCTCTCTCGCTCTCTCTCACTCTCTCTCTGTCAAATAAAAAAATAAAATCTTAAAAAAAAACCTTCAGTTCCTCAGAACCAACATAGGTTACTGTACATATTAACCAATCTTGACTTACGCAGCACAAAAGAGAGTTGAGAATTACTAAAATACTAAAATTTCATTTTACCTCCTGGGTATAGCCTCCTCCTCCTTGAACATATGAACAGAATCAGCAAAAAAGCATACACATACATACACCCACGGGTTTCATCTCACATTTTCTTACTTCTATCATATGATACGGTCCCAAGAAATATGGCAGTAGGGATGGTGGCAAAAGGAAATACAGTAAAGAGAACAGTCATCAGAATACTAGCTCTGTGACTTTGAGAGCTTCTGTAACATCACCTTTCTAGGCCTCAATGTCCTCTGCTATAGGAGGAAAGAGCTGAAAGTTTATTTCTTCTAAAGAAATTCCAGGAGTAACTATCCATAATATGATTGTTGCTGTGAACTGAATGTCCCTTGCTCTTTGAACCCTCTCTATTCCTCTTACACCTTTTCCTTGGAATTTCATACCTGGCTACAGGAAATGGGTCATCTTCAATCCTCATGCACATTGCCTACCTGCCAGGTAGTTCTCCCTGTCCCCTCCTAGGTTCACCTTCACAACGGAGATTCCACAGTTTGGCCTTCTGTTGAAACCTTGATGCTCTTTGTATTCATTGAAAAGTTTATTCTCAATTCTGTCATGATATAAGTTATTACTCTGGGATAAAGACCCTAAATTGGGAATGGGACAGCAAATACTTGCTTAAGTGATCCAAATGTCCCTCAATATTACAAAAAAAAATGACTGAGGTATCAATAAAAAGAAAAAGAGGGAGGCTCTTTAGAGGATCAGTTGTTTTGGAACAAAATTATGGAATCATTTCTTTTCCAGACTTTAACATTAAGTGAAATGTTTGTGTCACCTTTAGGTTCATTTTTAGTTGTTTCATGAAGCATTTTCATTAGTAGCATCTACATAGAAAAGAGTATTTAGCATCAGTTTTTCACTTGATACATTTCCTTAGGTAAAATCATAAATATAGTCCCTGAATTTCATACCTACCCGAGCATAACATGAAGCTCATATTTAAGCCATCTATAGGAAATGTTTTCTTGCAAACTCGACAATAGAGTACATGGAGCCTCTCTGTCTTTGGTCATGTGGAGATAGGAGCTTTATGCCTTAAAAGGCACAACCAAAAGTGTCAATTGTCTGGCTCCTTAAGAGGCAGGCTCATTGTTGTCTCAAATACCAGCTGCAGTTTGAATTCACCTGGAATGGTGTTTCAGAGAAATCCTTTTTAGTGGCAGGAGAGGAGACCTGTAGTCTAAGAAATAATTCCATGTTGGAACTGAGAATCAAGACATTCCTCTCCCTATCCTTTTAAAACAGAATTTGCAAACTGCTGGCCCATGGGTTATCCCCAGAAGGGATTATATAGGCTGCAGTGGGGGCTGAATAGTGTTTTACATTTGAATTAATTGTCAATGTTTAAAAATCATTAGATTTCACTGCTTCTCTTGAAAAAGCTGGCAACTCTGGCCCTGCATTCCCACATGGCGACCATCTGCTGAATCTGAGTAGGGGCTGCTCAGATTTACAGTGGCATGTGCTATCCAGTGCCCCACTGTCCCCACCACTCCTGAGTGTTTACTCTTCAGTGAAGCTCAATGTCATCCTCCCCATAACATCTTACACCTGGACCACTTCACCATTTACTTTATCTACACTGATAAATATTGAACAGCAGGTATAGCTTGGGCCCCAACCAACTGGAATTACTGCAGGCCCCGAAGCAGTGTATGGGGCTCCCTGAGAGGCTGTGAGTTAACCCTTTTGTTGCAGGACTTCGTGCACAGTGGTGAGAGGTGGCTTAGGAAAGAACCCAGGGCACTTGGGTGGGGCAGCTTGTGGCGTCCCGCGGATTTTGCAGTGGAGCTACTTTTCACCTGCTGTGGATGTGACAGTACCCGGTGGGCTTGATGCTGAATATCAGCCTCGCTTTAAGCATTTAAATGTGTGGCCCTAGCTTTAAGTGCTCACTTTTGTGAGCACATAGGTAGAAATGGACCACACAAGGCATCACTCCCAAGTGGAATACTATGCCAATGTCTGTGTTCCATTTTCCCTGGTATTACAACTTCAACCTGGATTTTTTTAAAGCAGTTTCCCAAGGAAAATGCTAAATGCCACATTAACGACTTCAAATAGAATCGGTCTTATAAGCAAGGAAAAACATGCTTACTGATAGAGAATATGAGGTTAACACAAACTTTATACTCCTGTCTTCCATTTGAGTGTCACTGAGTGCTTCATTCATGAACTGTCCCCCACTTGGTTATGTTTTAGTTAAAAAATTAAACAATTTTCTTTAAGTTATGACAGCACCTCTCAAGCATACCTAAGAAGCTTCATACACGGCATATGTCAGAATTTCTCAGCCTCAGCAGTGCTGACATGTTGAATTAGATCATTTTTTTGGTGGTGGTGGGGGAGGGACTGTCCTGTGCATTGTAACATTTTGGCAGCATCCTTGGTCTCTATCTACTAGATGTCTGCAACAATCCCTAGTCATGACAACCAAAACCTGCCAAATGTTTCCTACAAGGCGAATGATTCTTGGTTGAGAGTCACTGGTCTATAGTCCCACAACCCAAAAGGGTCATGTGGCTGATAACTACTTATAACCCCAAGTGTAATATCATAACATGTTGTTAGGAACATAATGATGACTTATTTATATATTACTACAAACAGAGATTTGACAATTTGTGATGTTGCTTAACATGACCTTTTAACTGCCCTTTCTTTGGGGAAGATATGAAAAAGGATAGTTTTAGATAGTCCTTTGGTATCTCCAAACTTTTTAGTTGGAGTGAGGAAAAGCACAGATATCTTTGTTTTATGTTCCCTAACTCATTAAAATTCTAACTAACTTTTAGATTTTCTGGAACATTTGGGATGATTTCAAAAGGTCTTTCCTCTACAATACTTACTGTGACTGATTTTTTTTTTCCAGTAGGCTCCACACCCAGCATGGAGCCCAACAGGGGGCTTGAACTCACAACACTGAGCTCAAGATCTGAGCCGAAATCAAGAGTCGGACACTTAACCTACTGCACCATCCAGGCGCCCCACTGTGCCTGATTTTTAAAGTGCATATGTGCTTAATTACTATTTTTTCCTACAAATACTGGACTGTAAAGAAGAATCAGACTTAGGGAGGTTAAGTGACTTCTCCGTAGCCAAAAACTGCTTAGAGATTTGATGCTTGCACTTGTGCTTGATCTCTTCAGAGTAAAGAATTCTGTGGGTCATTTGCCAAGATGGTATATTAAATAGTTCTTCTTATTCCCTGTTGGGGTATTTTCCACAACATTATAATAAACTACTGCTCAAATAATTGACAGGGAATATTACCTAATACTGAAAGTGCTTTTGAAACTAGCAAAATGATTAAATTAAGTTCAGGGTAGTTTTAATATTTAATAATACCAGCATTCACCTGATTAGAGGTTTTAGAGCTATACTTGATATCTTGATATCTCCCTTTCATCACCTACCTTTCAAGCCCTGTGAAAACTGCCTTAGAAATGGGTTTGAAATCTTTTCTTCTCTCACATCTACCACTCCGAGTTTGCTTGGACCCTCATTGTCTTCACCCTCAACTAGTACAATGGCGTACAATTAAGAGTTGTGTGTTCTCAAATCACCCACCATTTTGATGCCATAATTACTGTTTGTAAAGTCAAATCTGATTTTATGTCTTTATTTAAAAGCTTCCCATTGTTTACAAATCAAAGGCCAAATTCTTTATGAGACACACATACACACATATATATCTTTCTACCCTCAGATATGCTGCTACTTCCTACTACGTGATAATTATTAAGCTCACAGGTTATTAAAAAAAAAGAGTCTACTGTGTGCTCTCCCATTTCTGTGTCCCCTTGGTTTGTGACATTCATACCTGGAAAAGTTCCACTTCTTTTAAACTCACCTAGAATGCTACCTTCCCCATATTTTTTACTATCACCTGAAAGACTTAACCTTCCTTGCTGTTCCAAACCTTCTAGAGAAGCATTTTATAATGTAGTCTTGGAATCATTTGTACGTCTGTTTCATGCACTAAAAAGTAAGCTCCTATAAGGTGGAAAACTGTTTGACTTTATTTTAACATGTATATTTTTCACTTGGTAAAGAGTGCGCTGTATAGAAAGATGGCTTTTTAGTTTTTCAAATATTTATTTTATTCACTTTAAAATGGGTCTCTCACGTGGAAAGCACTCAGTAGATATTCCCAAATAACTGCCTTATTTAGAAACTTATAATATATTTAAACAATTTCAACAGATACTTACTGAATGCTTTGTGTTCTAGTTCCTGTTCTAAGTAATTTAAATCAATAATATGCGTTCAATCACATTCACATAGAAAATAAAGGGATCTATAAAGTTTCTTAGTGTTCATAAAGAGGAGAGGTAAGTTACTTAGAGGCAGAATCAGAGAGGTTACTTTGTGCTTAGTTTTTTAATCCATACAGATCCAAGTCAGATTTTATTCTATAAAATCCATAATCCTGTTAGCATAGTACCTAGCACTTAGTAAAAACTAAATATACTTTTGTTAATGTTATTATTATTATTGTCATTATTACTCTCTATTAGAGGAAATACCTCAAAATGAAAAAAATCCAAATAATGTGAGATGACAAGTTGTAAAAATAAAATCTATAATCTCTTAACAAAATATTTTTACACTTCAATTTATTTTTTAACTCCATAAGTATTTATTGAATCCAGTGAAAAATGGGATCAGCTAAAGTAGAAAATATTATGAAAAGATGGATATGTCACTAACCTTAAAATTCAATGACTTCCATTTAAAATATTAATGAAGTTAAGAAATAAAGGACTCATTTTAAATGGTAAATTTCTATAGAGAATAGTTAGTATCCTTCTATTGATTAGAATATCTGACCCATTAGACTGTCTATATCACGAACCATGTAGTTGAGGGTCTTGTAAGCCAAGAGTATAAACTTTTTATCATTTATAGTGGGGAAGATTTTGTTTCCACACTTGCTTGGGTCTTCTCACTTTATGACACACTGTGGCACGTGGATTTGTTTAATACTGTTTGTTCCCCTTATAAGAAATTATATTCATTCAGAGAAATTCTATTGCCCACGGACAATCCAAGTTTTGTTCTTTATTTTTTGGATAATTATCTTGGGTTTTAATATCAACAATAACTTATACATTGGATAATTTTTGTCTAAAAAATTTAGTCTAAATTGACAAATATTTGAGAGATATACTTGTATTTGTTCTTATATTTGTTAACATTTGAATTATACTCTCCAATATGGCAGCTGCTAACCATATGTAGGTTTTGAACGAGTCCAAATTAAGTGTGCTCTAAAATCTCAAAAAATTAGTACAGACAATAATATAAAATAGGATATATATATATATATATATATAATAGGTCATATTACCTGTGTATATATCTGTACAAATAAATACATATGTTGAAATAGTATTTTATGTACTAGGTTAAATAAAA